CTCCCTCACATATGCTCTCTTCTCCCTCTCTCTCCCTCACATATGCTCTCTTCTCCCTCCATCACACACACTTCTCTCTTGCTCTCCCTTTCTCCCCCTCACACACACACACACACACACACTCTCTCTTCTCACTCACTCATATGCTCATGCTCTCTCTCTCCTAAACACAAACACATTCACACGTTCTCTCCCTCACAAACACCATCTCACTATCACCCTCTCTCGCCATCACACCCAAAGGCTAATCAATGTCTGGGATTCCTTCATAAATAGCAACTGATGTTATCTAGTTAAAGAGTCAGAGATATACAGCGCAGAAACAGACCTTTTGGTCCAACTCATCCATGCCAACAAAGATATCCTATATAAACCTACTCCCATTTGCCAGCATTTGGCCCATAGCCTTATCAACCCTTCTTATTCATGTACCCATCCAGATGCCTTTTAAATGTTATAATTGTACAAGAATCCACTTCTTCTGGCAGCTCATTCCATACACGCACCACCCTCTGAAAAAGTTGCCCCTTGGGTCCCTTTTAAATCTTTCCCCTCTCACTTTAAACCTATGCCCTCCAGATTTGAACACCCTACTCCAGGGAAAACACCCCACTCCAGGGAAAAGGCCTTCTCTATTTACGCTATCCATGCCCCTCATGATTTTATAAACCTCTACAAGGTCACTCCTCAGCCTTCGACACTCTAGGGAAAATAGCCCCAGCCTATTCAGCCTCTCCCTATAGTTCAAACCCTCCAACCTTGGCAACATCCTTGTAAATCTTTTCTGAACCCTTTCAAATTTCACAGCATCCTTGTGTGAAAGGAGGGAGACCAGAATTGCACACAGTATTCCAAAAGTGGCCGAGCTAATGTCCTGTACAGCCACAAAATGATCGCCCAACTCCTATACTCAATGCATTGACCAAACACCTTCCCCCCTATTCTATCCACCTGCGACTCCACTTTCAAGGAACTATGAACCTGCACCCCAAGATCTCTTTGTTCAGCAACACTGCCCAGGACCATGCCATAAGTATAAGTCCTGCTCTGATTAGCCTTTCCAAAATGCAGCATCTCACATTTATCTAAATTAAACTTCACCTGCCACTCCTCGGCCCGTGTGATTATGATCCCATTGTACTCAGAGGTAACCTTCTTCGTTGTCCACTACACCTCCAATTTTAGTGTCATCTGCAAACTTACTAACTACACTTCCTATATTCACATCCAAACCATTTATATAAATGACAAAAAGCAATAGAGCCAGCACCGATTCTTGTGGCACACCGCTGGTCACAGGCCTCTAGTCTGAAAAGCAACCCTCCACCACTGCCCTCTGTCTTCTAACTTCAGCCAGTTCTGTATCCAAATACAAGACAACAAGGTGTAAAATTGAATCAGAGATAGTAGGAACTGCAGATAGTTCTCCCTGTATTCCATGTGATCTAACTTTGCTAACCAGTCTACCATGAGGAATCTTGTCAAACACCTTACTGAAGTCCATATAGATCACATTCACCACTCTGCCCTCATTAATCCTCTTCGTTACTTCTTAAAAAAAACTGTCTCAAGTTAGTGAGACATGATTTCCCATGCACAAAACCATGGTGACTATCCCTAATCAGTCCTTGCCCTTCCAAATACATGTAAATCCTGTTCCTTTGGATCCCATCCAACAACTTGCCCACCACCAATGTCAGGCTCACTGGTCTATGGTTCCCTGGCTTTTCCTTACCACCTTTCTTAAATAGTGGCACCACATTAGCCAATCTCCAGTCTTCCGGCACCTCATCTGTGGCTATCAATGATACAGATATCTCAGCAAGGGGCCCAGCAATCACTTCCCTCGCTTCCCACAGAGTTCTAGGGTACACCTGATCTGGTCCCGGGAACTTATCTACCTTTATGCGTTTTAAGATCAGCACCACCTACTCTGTAATATGGGCATTTTTCAAGATGTTGCTATTTATTACCCCACGTTCTCGGTCTTCCATATCCTTCTCCACAGTAAATACTGATGTAAAATACTTGTGTAAAATACTTGTTTAAGTATCTCCCCCATCTCCTGCAGTTCCACACATAGGTGGCCTTCCTGATCTTTCAGGGGCCCAATCCCCCTAGTTACCCTTTTGTCCTTAATGTATTTGTAGAATCCCTTTGGATTCTCCTTAACCCTATCTGCCAAAGCTATCTCATATCCCTTTTTGCCCTCCTGATTTCCCTCTTAAGTATACTCCTACTGCCTTTATAATCTTCTAGGGATTCACTCGATCTCTGTTGTCTATACCTGGCATATGCTTCCTTCTTTTTCTGGATCAGAACCTCAATTTCTCCAGACATCCAGCATTCCCCACACCTACCAGCCTTGCCCTTCACCCTAACAGGAACATACTCTCTCTGGACTTCCGTTATCTCAGTTTTGAATGCTTCCCATTTTCCAGCCATCCCTTTACCTACGAATATCCGCCCCCAATCAACTTTTGAAAGTCCTTGCCTAACACCATCAAAATTGGCCTTCCTCCAATTTAGAACTTGAACTTTTAGATCTGGTCTATCTTTTTCCATCACTATTTTAAAACTGATAGAATTATGGTCACTGGCCCCAAAGTGGTCCCCCACTGACACCTCAGTCACCTGCCCTGCCTTATTTCCAAAGAGTAGGTCGAGTTTTGTACCTTCTCTCGTAGGTACATCCACATACTGCATCAGAAAATTTTCTTGTACACACTTAATAAATTCCTCTCCATCCAAGCCCTGAACACTGACAGTCACAGTCTATGTTTGGAAAGTTAAAATCCCCTACCATAACCATCCTATTATTCTCACAGATAACTGAGATTGCCTTACAAATTTGTTTCTCAACTTCCCACTGAATACTAGGTGGGGGGAGGATATAGTACAATCCCAGTAAGCTGATCATCCCTTTCTTATTTCTCAGTTCCACCCAAATAAGTTCCCTGGATATATTCCCAGGAATATCCTCCCTAAGTACAGCATAATGTTATCCCTAATCAAAAAAGTCACTCCTCCTCCTCACTTGCTCCCCTTGCAAACAATCCAATAGCATCTATACTGTGGAACATTGAGCTGCCAGTCCTGTCCATCCCTGAGCCATGTTTCTGTAATTGCTATGATATCCCAGTCCCATGTTCCCAACCATGCCCCGGGATCATCTGCCTCACTCTTGCATTGAAATAAATGCAATTTAATTTATCAGTCCTACCTCGTTCTCTGCTTTGTTCCTGCCTGCCCTGACTGTTTGACTTATTCCTTTTCCCAACTGTACCAGTCTTAGACTGATCTCTTTCCTCACTATCTTCCTGGGTCCCACCACCCCCACCCCTTGCTAGTTTAAATATCCCCGCTAGTATTTTAGTCCCCTTCCAATTCAGGTGCAGTTCGTCCTTCTTAAACAGGTCACATCTACCCCAGAAGAGATTCCGATGATCCAAAAATGTGAATCCCTTTTCCCCTGCACCAGTTCCTCAGCCACACATTCATCTGCTCTATTCTCCTGTTCCTACCCTCACTAGCTCGGGGCACAGGGAGTAATCCAGATATTACTACCCTCAAGGACATCCTTTTTAAATTTCCGCCTAACTTCCCATATTCTCTCCTCAGCATCTCAATCCTTGTCTCTTCCTATGTCGTTATTTCCAATGTGTACAACCACCTCCTGCTGGTCCCTCTCACCTTGGAGAGTATTCTGCACCCTCTCAGAGATATCCTTGACCCTGGCACCAGGGAGGCAACACACCATTGTGATGTCTCTCTGTCGGCCTCAGAAACATCTGTCTGTGCCTCTGACTAGAGAGTCGCCTATCACAATCGATTGCTTGCAACCTGACATACCCCTCGTTACATTAGAGCCAGTCTCAGTACCAGAAACCTAGCTGTCAGTGCTACATTCCCCTGAGAGTCCATCACCCCCTATATTTTCTAAAACAGCATACTTGTTTGAGATGGGGATAGCCACAGGAGACTCCTGCTTCTCTCCCCTACCTTTCCTGGGAGGTCACCTGACTGTTTCCTCAGTTTATCTCCCTCCCTGCAACTACCATCCATCACACCCCCTAGCTCCTGTAAATTCCTCAGTGCTTCTAAGTGCCACTCCAACCAATACATATGATCGAATAGGATTCGCAACCAAACATACCTCCTGCAGACATAATGAGATAACAAGGTGTAGAGCTGGATGAACACAGCAGGCCAAGCAGCATCATAGGAGCAGAGAGGCTGACGTTTCGGGCCTAGACCCTTCATCAGAAAAGGGATACAAGATTGTGTTTGGTCACAGGTCATTCATTATCTCACTGAGGAACCAAACTGTACCCTGCTGTTCATAGCTTTCATCTTCCAGACTTTCGTGTTGCCTCGTGCTAATCCTTTGTTCCAGATTCAAAATAGAACTCCACAGCGGCAAAGCCTGAAAGGAGATGTGTTACCTAATGGGAAACCTGATCCATGATCAGCAGTTTAGAAGGATCGTGTGTCTCAAATTCACTGTCAACATCCCTCTCTAAAAATGGAAAAGGCAAATGTCATATGGTTTCTCGGCCAAAAGGCCGACTCTAATCTGACAGAGTTTAAAAAGATACAACCATCTCTTTGCATATTTTGTGCCAATGCTACTCAGAATAGTACATCACTGAGGTCTATCAACGAGTCTCAACCAGTTGGGATGATCTAGAACGTGCTGGTTGGAAAGAAGCTGATTCTATTTCAACATTCAGAAGGGCACTGGAAAAATACAGGGGAGGGGGTGGGGAGAACAGAATTAATGCAATCAATAGGATATTAATTTTTTTTTATAACCCCAGGCCCTGCTTACCCAGGCTTCATTCTTATGCCATTACTTTGACCAACAGCAAAGTTATCTCCAGAGATAGTAGGAACTGCCGATGCTGGAGAATCTGGTATAACAAGGTGTAGAGCTGGAAGAACACAGCAGGCCAAGCAGCATCAGAAGAAGGGTCTAGACCCGAAACGTCAGCTTTCCTGCTCCTCGGCCTGCTGTGTTCATCCAGCTCTACACCTTGTTATACCTGAAGTTATCTCCAGGCTCCTTATCAATCAACATCCTCAACCCATACCACTAGAAGAGATCTGGCCACGATCCCATTGCTGTTTGTGGGAGCTTGCTGTGTGCAATTTGGCTCCAGTGCACCCTCACCCAGAGGAACTACACCGAAAAAAGCGGTAAAGGAGGCAGCCAGGGAGCTACTTCCCCTCAACATGCACGCCTTCAGTACAGCAGGATTTTTCAACTGTAACCGTTTGATTTTGCGACTGGTGCGGTTCGCTTGGGGAGTTCCAGACGGGCGTCACACCAATGCAGTGGAGAAACAGGCTCCCCGTTTGCTCTCTCACCTTCGCTCACTTTCTTGGTCTCCTTGTACATCGCCCATAAGTAGCTCCTCATGTCCACGGCGCTGCTGCTGCTGTAAGGAGCCGCCGCGGTTGTAACGATGCGGCTCCCCGGCGAACGCCGCTGCAGCGCCGGCCCCGAGCCCGGGACGGAGAGCAGCCTCCCGAGAGGAGCAGCTTCACCCCGGTACCGGAGCAACTCCTTCACAGCGTTCCCCGGCAGCCTGGCCGCCAGCGCCCGCGGACCCATTCTCCCTGCTCCCGGGGAACTCTGTCCTCACTGAAGCCGGTTAACACTACTGACTGCTTCCAACAGCCTGTCGTCACTTCCCTGTGACAACCAGACCCTGGCGAAGAGACGCTCCAAACAAAACAGAAACACCCTGCCACTACATCTGTTTATAAATTCCTCATTGATGCAAACAGCCCTGTGTCAATAGAGAGTGGAGTTTGCAGAAAATGGGAGGGACATTGTGAAGTGGAATTTTCTTTCATTCATTCACGGGATGTAGACATCAGCATTTATTGCCCATCCCTAATTGCCCAGACGGCTGTTGAGAGTCAACCACAAGACTGTGGGTCTGGAGTCACATGTAGGCCAGACCAGGTAAGGATGGCAGTTTGCTTCCCCGAAAGACATTAGTGAACCAGATGGGTTTTTACTACAATTGACGATGGATTAATGGTCATCACTAGACACTTAATTCCAGATTCTTTTTCATTGAATTCAAATTCCGACATCTGGGTGCCCAGAACATTACCTGGGTCTCTAGATTAATAGTCCAAGTAAGGTTCCCGACTGGAAACATCAACTTTCCTGCTCCGCTGATGCTGGCCTGCTGTGTTCCTCCAGCTCCACACTGTGTTATCTATGTAGTAAATGTAGTATGCATATCAAGTTATGTATGTTTAATACATGCCAGAGGAAGTGGTGGTGGCTGGTACAATTACAATACTTAAAAGGCATCTGGATGGGTGCACAAATAGGAAGGGTTTAGAGGGATATGGGCCACCAAATGCTGGCAAATAGGACTAGAATAATTTAGGATATCTGGTTGGCATGGAGGAGTTAAACCAAAGGGTCTGTTTCCATGCTGCTGCACAGCTCTATGACTCGTTATAAAGATGTGTATATTTAATGTGTGTACAGTTGTGTACATTTCTAGGTGTTAAATAATGACTTGCATTTGTATTTTTAATTTTAAAAGGAAGTTGTGCAAATATGAAGCTAAGTAAATTGCAGGATTAGGGATTTGAAAAGGGTGGAGATTGGGATAAACATGACTGCTTTTGTGGGCATACAGGTATGATGGACTAAATTGCTTCCTTTTGTGCTCTACCTTTCTATGATGCTATGTACAGGTCCCCTCAGGACATCTTTGAAACACTTTGCAGTGTTAGTGAAAGAGTGTGACATCAAGGAATCAGACTTGGAACCCAAGTCAACGGGGAAGAGGTGGAAATACTACACTGGTTGCAGCCATACCTCACCATCAAAATCACTGTGACTAATTATTATTTTTCTTTTAACCAGTAACCAACATCCGTAAAAATACGCATGTGTCTAACAAGCAAAGCCCATTATGGGCAATGCATATCGTCAAAGACGAGAGGGGTCAGCGAGACCAGGAATCAAAACAGAGTCGAAGGGGAAGATAAAGAACCATATTCCCCACAGGTGAACTTCTTTATTCACTTGCCCCCTCAATTGGTCACAAAGGTGAATTTAGAAAGGGTCTCTTCCCTTGTGGATGCCTTTCTTAGCTAATGCTAAAGCAAAACCCAAATAATTGTTTTACAAGTTGGTGCTTCTGTTCCAACTAGGTCTTGAGTTACAACAGGAATGTTGAATGGTCTGTTCTGGTTGGATCTATGATCTTTCACCATGACCCATCTATGTCAATGCGTTGTTCTGCCTGCTTTCATACCTTGCCAAACATGTTATGCAATTTTTGAGCTGCTTCTCTGGGAGACCAGCAAATTTTGGATAGACCAAAGATCTTCTCTTACAGAATTGATGTTCCTCCAGCTACAGTTGCTGTGCATCCCTGTATCATGGGTTGGCTCAGAACGAACATTAACAAAACCCACAGCATCTCTCTTTCTAGACCTTCTTTACATAGCTCCATTCCACAATGAAGTGAATCTTGGTCTGTTCTCCACCACAACCACCTCAAGGTCAACATGTAGAGGGCATGAAACTGGACATATAGTAACATCTGATGGAAAAGGCCATTCTCATCCCCAGCCAAGCTTCTGATACATATTCGAAAGTGTGGCAATTAAGCATTCTGTCAAATTACTTTAACAGTCTGTTTGGGCAACCATCCAAAAGGATCTACCATCTCTTGTTACTGCAGGGGCCTATAAGATGTTAAGTACAGACCATTGCCTGAGGGTCTTGTGGTCAAATCTATTTTCCTGCATAAACCTTTCTATGAGGGACAAGTCACACAGCCTGGAGCATTCCATGGCAACATGACCACTGTTGGGAATGTATATTTAAGGATTTTTTTTTAAAAATGGAAGAATTTGGCCATTTTCAGGGTTGAATAGGGTTTACCACATAGTTTTGTTAAGAAATTAAGTCAACGGCTTTACATGTGTTGTTTACAGAAAACTAGGTGACATTCGGAGAGAAGGCAAGCAAAGCTTTCAATTAAAATTACAAACTGGGTTTTTGGCCCTTAGCTACTGGAAAACTTGGTTTTGAAAAGACCAAGGGGCCTCTGTGCTAATGGTTGCCTAGCAACCCTTTTCAGACTTAGCTTTCCATTTCATAAGCCTAAGGCATAAGTATGGAAGGCTCCCCTGAAGCTGTAAGTATCTCTCCTTTTCACAGTAGAAGTTCCTGGGAACCAGATAAGTTTTACAAATACCAGAATTTCTGGCCATCTTGTAAAACCTCGAAACCTGAACTCACCATTTTCCAAAAGCCTGGATCTGGGTTGATTACAATCAGAGCTGAAGCTCTTCCATCAGTATACACCTGTCAAGTGGGGAGGTGGGAAGCAAAATCTAGAAAATCCAGGCAAGTGCCATATCCATCTGACTGTGACAGTGTGAGATCTGGATCACCTTAGATTGGGATATCACTTTAAGGCCCAGAGTCAACTGCCCAACTGAGAAGGGGCTGGGAATGATGCCCACAGCCACAGGGTAGTGTGTTTCAGATTGCCTTTGGGAAAGCTATGGAGATGTGTTTGGGACAGAGTACCATTCAATTTCCATGTAGGGGCTGGAAGGATATCTGATCCCCTTGGCTCCACAGGGAAAGTAAAAATAAAACATAAAGACAATAACAAAATACTTTAGATATTGGAAATCCAAAATAGAAACAAAAATTGCAAGGAACACTTGGCAGGCCTGGTCGCGTTAGAGGACAGAGAATTAGAGTGGGTTCTGGGTCGACAGCTCTCTGTTTGCCTGTCTGTATCTCTATCTCTCTCCACAGATGCAGGCAGCCTTGTTTGATATATTCACCACATTCTGCTTTTATTAATTAACAAAAAGTTTGCTTGGGCCTCTTCTGGAATGGCTCCTCTTCGCAAATTCTTCACCTTCTGTTAAAGTTACACCAGTTTCAAAGCACCTATTAAAATTTCAGTCCAAGCCTAATGATGTCATTGGAACCTAACTAACATTTTTAAAGAAGACACAATATTGCTTCTGGACAGTATCCTTGCCACTTGCTCAGTAAAATAGGTTAAAATTCCAGACAGTGGGATCAGGGTGAAACTGTAATTGGTGAGTCTACTGCTGAGTTGGGAGGGTTGAAATCTTTCTCCTATGGTTGATTTCTTTATCTGTCAATCACAGCTCAACCCAAAATGTCTCAAATTACAAGCTATTTCGGCAAACTGTTCCTCCTGATCAAGAATAAAGGTTTTATTTATTTTTTAATGAAGCAGTAATAATTATTTGCAGCTGAAACGCTGTACAAAATAAATGATGTATGAAGTTCTTAGCTTACATTCTCTAAGTTTACACCATGTAAAAGGTTCAAGGGCCAAGTAGAACTAGGGAATGCATAATTGCCCCAAGATTAACATTCAAAACTTGAACGAAATGTGCACAGTTAAAACAAAATAAACCATATAGTTTGTGATTACGTAGGAAAGGAATTGTATTAGAATACATTTGGTTATAAACAGGATATGAATTGAAATTAGCTTCCCAATCTATTATGTAGTTGTGATATGGTGTAAATTAATAATAAGGTTGATAGAACCACTTTTCATTTCAGACCCTTTAATAACTTAACACCCAATTCACAAAAGAAGAAATTACAAGTTGCAACAGCACTAACAGCCAATATTTATACCGTACCTTTATCATCATAAAATGTTGATGATTGTGATTCACAGGAAGGTCATTGTTGTATATGGGTCTGGAAGGGTCTGAAGAGATTAGTACTTAATTGAGTGCAATAAGCACCACTCACTGCAATGATGTCACAAGAGCTAGGTGGGAAAGTAAAGTAGGATCTCATGGGAGACAGCCTTAGGGTTGGGACTTCCTGACAGTAGTTGTGGTAAAGCAGAGCCCATTCTCATAGCCTGTAAATAGTTGCAGAGATACAAAAGAAATTTGTTTATTGTACAAAACTCTTCTTGTCAGCACGACATCACATAAAACCCTAAAGAACCAAGACACTTAGAAGCTATGGATGGCATCAAAAGCAACATGGTGATCAGTAGTGGGATCTGAACATTTAGTTCAGCAAACCTAATGAGGCAAACGTTCTGGTAACCAAGAAGGCATAAGGAAAACAGATAGCTGAGGACAGGGAATACACCTCTGCTCCCCTCCAAATAAATCTCATGGAAACGCTCAACACTGATGAATTGGTGCAGGTACAATGGGACAAATGGCTTCCTTCTGCGCAATAACAATTCTGGGATTCTGATGAACGCTTTCAAACAATGAAAGAAAACATTTTCAGACCTGATAAGAGACACACTAAAGCAACAAAAACCTACAGTGATATTGCAACAATGCTGTATCTTCATGAATAGTCCCAAGTCAGATTTCAGCTGGTGAGCAAATAGATATTGAAGATTGGTCAACTCTCTGGTACAAGGGTAAAACTTTAAATGCTGTAGTAACTCAGACTGAAAGTGCAAGATTTTTAAAAATAACTTGCAGCTTAGATTGGACACCGTATCGATACCACAAGGTATGGCTAGAAAACAGAAACAGAATGAACTTGGCCAAGGGAGAATCTTACATAATTCTGGATTGGAAACCCAGCAAAATCGTGAAACCAGTCATTTAAAGCCAATAGACATGGGCAGTTTAAGAAAGCAAACAATTCTGGTCTGGAAGATTTTCTAGAAGATCCCATTCCATCTGCAAAAGATAGGAAATCCTCCATAATAATCACAAAAGTGCAGGAATTTCCATCAAAGCTGCAAAGAGCAGGAAAACCCTTTGGAACAGCTGCAA